GGAGGTTAGTCCCCCCCCACCCCGCTGGTTCCTCCCTGTCTCCTACACCCCCCTGCTCTATTCCCCCCCCTTTCCTCCCCCCGGCTCCGAAGCTCTTACCCCCGCCTCCGAAGTGAGGCCCCCCTCCCCGCCTCCAAAGCAATGATTCGGGTCTGGCAGTGAGGCTCGAGCGGCTTGCAACCGCCGGGACTCACTGGTCTTGCAACCGCCGGGACTCGCTGCTCTCTTCCCCCCCCCAAGCGGTGGCGGTGGCAAGGGAGTTCGCAGAGCATTCCCTGCACATGCGCAGGGGACGCTCTGTCACTTTTGGGGGGATTTAAGTATCCCCCCGATATTTTTCCAGGGTTTTTAGATTTTTGTGCACACCTGGGGACTGCCCCAAGTGTGCACAAAAATCTCCCTTCTTCCCAGGTGCCCCTGATGCGCGGATTTAAATGCCTCCCCATGCCTCCCCCAGCTTGCCTGCCTGCAGAGTCCCCCCTTCCCTGGCTGGTGGCTGCTTTTCAGGCAGTTGTCAAAATGCTGCCGAATTTCAGCGGCGGCTTTCGGTGGCGGGCTGAATCAGATTAGAGAATCTGATTTGGCCCATGGCTTCCTGAAAGGGGGCCGAATAGGCTATTTTTAGGGGTGCATTCGGTTCGGATGAACCGAATGCACCTTCCTAGGGGCTAGCTAATAAACCACACAGTAAAACAATTATCCAGGCAGTAAAGGGTAACAAAAGAATTTATTTGAATAAAGGAACATCTCACAGCTAAAAATTCAGTGGGGATGTTCAATGTGTTACAGCCAGGAGCTTACTTAAATATTTTTCTTGCTCCTCCTCACTTTACATCATCACTTTAGACATGCTCAGTTCAGATTTCTTTGTCTGGTCAGTCATCAATCACATATTTGATACACAGGATGTTATTTGGCCGCATTCAACTCCTACAATGCAGGTGCACTGCTCATTATGTTGATTTATATTTCTGTTCACATCTTTTGGCTGTCTTCCTAGACTCCTTTCACCTTTGAATGAGCCCTCAGGCTGAGTTCATTTTTAGTACAAAACTTAGATGTTTTCATTACAAAAATGGTTCTTTTACATTAATACATGCATATAAATGTCTAACAATATTCAAAGTATTTTATAAGCTTATTTTCACTAAAATATACAAAATATGAAAACATATGTCATTACAATGACATTCTAAAGAATTAAACCTTTTACATGAATTGTTTTAGTGTTTTAAAGTAGCCTATGGCATAAAGCTCTTGTAGAGGCACTGAATCTATCAGTTTTTATTTTGGTCCATCAGAATATTTTTGGTAATTTTATAAATCTTCTTTTTGTCTAAATTAAAAACTCTTCATTTTTAGAATACACCATCTTATTTTAGCCAGCAGAGGCCCTCCTTTTGTATAATATAAATTATATTTATTTTATAATTGGCTTCCAGTATCTATGACTTCATCTGCTTGTTAGTAGCTTGTTAATCCTTAAAAATTTAAAAGCACACAATAACTTATGATCCATCTGAACTTCTTAATGTTTTCCTAAACCTTTTGGAACATCTCCCAACTTTCCGCTTGCTAATTTCAAACACGGTTCCTTAAAAACTTAACTAGTTTTCTCTTTTACATTAAACATACAAAAACATTTTATCCATAAACTTTCATTCTCAGCTATAAACATTCAGAGATATTTACCTTTTAACAATTAAAAGCACCCTTAAAAACTTAGATTTATTTTGCATGGAAAATACAGTTGAACTTTATTTAACCCTATTAATTTTGACATCCTTTAGCTTAGCTTGTGAATCCTTGCCAGGACAGTTTTAAGTGTATAAAAACATCTTGACCAATCTGTCTCTAGTTCCTGTGGAATAAAGGATGGAACATCAATCTCTTAACTGACAATTAATTCCTGTGGTGCTTTTATACCAGTCCAGTTCATGTAAGTGTCTATACAAACCAACAGAGAGTCTTTTCTATTTAGAATAATAATCTACAAAAGGCAAGTATATAGAGATATTGCTTATAGATTCTAATAGTTCAATATTGATATGTTAAAACACTCCAAGCTTATTTAGAATTACTAAAAAAATCAGAAGCTGAAACGACCTCCTGAACTCAGTTTTTGAAATAGAGAGGCTCTCATAAATCTTAAAGGTTGACAATTAGAAAGTATGTCCTAATTGAAGATTGGCTCAGTTACCTGGGACAGAAACACCTGCAGTTTACTTCCAATTAAAATTAGCTTTTCTTTGAAGCAAGGGCTGGAACATGTTAATTAAGTTTGGTTTAAAACACCTGTGTTCTTTACAACTCAAACTGATTGTTAATTCTCCAGGAGAGTCCCAAAGAATTTATCCCAAAGGTTTCCTGGAAATCAACAATAATCAATAGAAAATCATTTGAACCCTGGGTATCCCCTACAATAAGAAGAAGATCAGACCAGTGAGGGTCCACCTAGTCCTGTCTCACATGGTGGCCAAGCAGTTCCGCTGGAGGGCCAACAACAGGGCAAAAAGGCTGAGACCTTCCCCTCATAAGAACATCAGAAGAGCCCTGCTGGATCAGACAGTGAGGGTCCATCTAGTCCAGGATCCTGTCTCACATGGTGGCCAAGCAGTTCCGCTGGAGGGCCAACAACAGGGCAAAAAGGCTGAGACCTTCCCCTGATAAGAACATAAGAAGAGCCCTGCTGGATCAGACCAGTGAGGGTCCCTCTAGTCCAGCATCCTGTCTCACACAGTGGCCTCAACCAGTTCCTCTGGAGGGCCAACAACAGGGCATAGAGGCTGAGGCCTTCCCCTCACAAGAACATCAGAAGAGCCTTGCCGGATCAGACAATAGTCCATCTGGTCCAGCACCCTGTCTCACACAGTGGCCAACCAGTTCCTCTGGAGGGGCAACAACAGGGCAGGGAGCCCCAGGTCATCCCTAATGTTGCTTCTTGCATCAGATATTCAGAGGACTGCCTCTGGATGTGGCACCTGAGGACCCTCCCTGGATCAACTGAGCATAGTGTGGAGAGAGGAGAAACGGCTTCAACACTCTGGAGTAGATGGCACCGTTCTCCAAGTAGCATTCTTGTAGCTTATGGGGCCTTTCTCCCACTTGACCAGGTCTTCCTCCCACGGAAGAGCCACGAGCATTTATTTAATTAATTCATTCACTTATACCCCACCTTTCTTGCCAGTGGGGATCCACAGCAGCTTGCCGCATTCTCCCCTTCTCCGTTTCCTCCTCACAACAACCCTGTGGGGTAGGTCAGGCTGCGGAACTGTGGCTGACCCAAGGTCACCCTGTGAGCTTCCGTGGGACGAGTGGGGGATTTGAACCTGAGTCTTTCGGATTCTAGTCTGACATGCTTCACCACCACACCACGCTCGGAGGAATGATGATGGTTGCCAGCCTCCAGGCAGTTTCTGGAGATCTCCCGCTGTTACGATTGATCAACGTCAGTTCCCCTGGGGAAAATGGCTGCTTGGGAGGGTGGGGCTCTGTGGCATTGTGCCCTGCTGAGGCCCCTCCCCAGGGTCCACCCCCCTCCCAATCTCCAGGTATTTCCCAGCCCAGAGCTGGCAACTCTAAGGCTCCTCAGATTGGAGGAAGGCTTCCAACTGGAGCCAAGAAAGCAAGGTGGGGTATCAATATTCGAAGAAAGAAATGATAAACAGAATGAGCTCAGTGGGGAGGTAGGATGTGGATAGGTTCCACCCCAGGATGCCCTTGCTGCTCCCAACTGAGGGGTGACATGATTGAGGTTTATAAGATTATGCATGGGAAAGAGCAGGTAGAGAAAGAGGCACATTTCTCCCTTTCTCACAATACAAGAACTCTGATGGGCACTCCATGAAATTGCTGAGCGGTCGGGTTAGAACGGATAAAAGGAAGTCCTTCTTCACCCAAAGAGTGATTAACACATGGAATTCACTGCCATAGGAGGTGGTGGCAGCTACAAGCATGGACGGCTTCAAGAGGGAATTAGATAAGCATATGGAGCAGAGGTCCATCAGTGGCTATTAGCCACAAGGTATAGATAGGGGTTCTGGGGCAAGTGATGCTCTGTCTTCTTGGTGCTGGGGGGGGTCAACAGTGGGAGGGCTTCTAGTGTCCTGGCCCCACTGGTGGACCTCCTGATGGCACCTGGTATGTCTGGCCACTGTGTGACACAGAGTGTTGGGCTGGATGGGCCTTTGGCCTGATCCAACATTGGCGTCTCTTATGTTCTTATGTTATGTTCAAATCCCTTCCAGTGGCACCTGCCTCCTCCCACCCGGTGGCGGACCAACCTTTTTGGACCCTGAAGCTTGAACTGTTATGGGGGCCCCTTCTCAACCAGCAACAATAGAGCAACATCCAACAACGTCCAAAGGTCCAAATGGTGGAGAACGGGGTGGTGGGGTGGAGCCCTTGGAAATGGGCCATACATCAAACCCCTACTATATATATATATATATATATATATATATATACACACACACACACACACACACACACACACACACACACACACACACATACCACTGTTGTCTTCTTCAGTGGGTTTGTTCCACGGCAGATCACCACAATTTTTTTTTTAATTTAACCGCTATGTCTCAGATTTTGATTACAATCACTGTACTGGGTTATTCCACATGTCAAAGTACTTCAGCCCACTGGCTTATGATGCTGTCACTAAAACAGCCTTATTTTAATAACAAACACTTGTTTTTAAAAAGCCATCAATTTTGTTGAGAAATCCACTCGTGAAAAGAAACGTTGCTTCGGGGCCCCTCCGGGATCAGGGGCCCTGAAGCTTAAGCTTCATTAGTTTCAGAGTAGATCCGTCCCCTGATCCCACCCCATTTGTGGCTGTTTTCCCCGCCGCCTTCTTCCAGTCTCATCCACAGAGGTTGGATGAAGGGAACTGGGGAAGGCTGGCTCGCCTCGCCAGGAGGGATTCTAACTGGCCATTAGGAGAAACAGAGTGCTGCTGAGCCAGATGGGACTTGGGAGGAACCAAGAGGGCTCTTCTTGTCCAAAGTTATAACCCAGCATGGTGTACTCAGGGGTCTCCCCACTCTTTTCTAGCCCGTAGTGCGTGTGAGAGAGATGTCCACATCAGGTGCACACAATCCAGGCCTCGTCCACTTTGGGGGCAGCTGCCTTGGGCCCCCCCATAACCCCAAGGAGCTGCGGTGGCTCAAGTGGTTAAGACACTGAACTGCAGGCTGTGGAAGGTCGGTAGTTCAGCAGTTCGAGACCCGAGTGTGCCGCATGACGGAGTGAGCTCCCGGCTCTAGTTCCAGATCCTGCCAACCTAGCAGTTCGAAAGCAAGAAATTGCAAGTAGATAAATAGGTACCGCTTCAGTGGGAAGGGAACAGCGTTCCATGCGCCTTGGTGTTTAGTCATGCCGGCCACATGACCACGGAAACGTCTTCGGACAGCGCTGGCTCTTCGGCTTTGAAACGGAGATGAGCACCGCAACCCTAGAGTCGGACTCGACTGGCTTTCGAGCAAGGGACACCTTTAGCTTTACCTTTACATAACCCCATGGCCTTGAGCAACCGTTTCCCCTTTTGCCCCACAGACCCTTCAAAATTTTGTCGTTGGTTGGATCGACTGGAACCTGGCTCTGGATATGAAGGGAGGCCCTAACTGGGTCAAGAATTTCGTGGACAGCCCCATCATTGTGGATGCCACAAAAGATGAGTTCTACAAGCAGCCGATGTTCTACCACCTGGCTCATTTCAGGTAGTTCTCGCTTCCCAGCAGCAGGGGGCGGTACTCCGACTCCCCTCCCCCCAGGCAGTGAAATTGAGAGTTGAGCTGGGATAGATTCTAGGAGGTCCGGGACTCAATCAACGTGATTATTTTATATGCAAACTTCAAGTGCGCTGCTTCTCTCTGGACCCTTCTGCCTTTCCATGATTTCACCTGCTGAAACCACCCCACCACCACCCCAGTTCCATTAGCCTAAGAAGGAAAAGAGAAAACACACATGCAGCCAATGGTCCCTCTAAACTGTGGAGTCTTGTGAGCAAAAACTCTACTTTGCGAGCTACTGGCATGAAAGTTGTGGGCAAGCGATTTGGCTGCTGCATAAATGAGTTTGCTCTGGAGCCATCCTTCCTGAGCTAAGATAAAAATGTGTGAGCCGGAGGCTAAAAAACTGTGAGCTGGCTCACACTCACTCAGCTTAGCGGGAACACCGCAAGCAGCTGCCTTATTCTGAATCGAACCATAATTACATCGAGCCCAGCACTGTCTACTCAGACTGGCAGCGGCTCTCTGGGGTCTCAGGCTGAGGTCTTTCCCATCACCTACTGCCTGGTCCTTTTAACTGGAGATGCCGGGGATTGAACCTGGGACCTTCTGCACACCAACCAAGCAGAGGCTCTTCTGCTGAACTGCAGCCCATACTTAGAAAGGTTGCGGCTCTCCAGGGTTTGGGGGACAAGGCTTTCCCCTCACCTACAGCTTGATCCTTTTAATTGGAGATGCCGGGGATTGAACCTGGGACCTTCTGCAAGCAAAGTATGTGAAAGCACACATTTTGTATGTGAACAGACTCAGAGCTGCCTTCTACTGAGTCAGACCCTGGGTCTACCAAGGTCAGTCCAGTCTACTCAGACTGGCAGCAACTCTCCAGGGTCTCAGTGGAAATCTTTCCCATCACCTACTGCTTGGTCCTCTTTAACTGCAGATGCCGGGGATCGAAGCTGGGACTTTCAGCCTGCAAAGCAGAGGCTCTTTTCACTGAGCCACAGCCCCTCCATCTCTTTGCCCCTTCTAGAACTAATGGGAAAGTGATACCAATAAAAATTAACGACGGAAACTTCTATTGAAAATAATACAACACTTTAGTAAATAATTCCTGCCAACCTAGCAGTTCGAAAGCAAGAAATTGCAAGTAGATAAATAGGTACCACTTCGGTGGGAAGGTAACAGCGTTCACATGACCACAGAAACATCTTCGGACAGCGCCGGCTCTTCGGCTTTGAAACGGAGATAAGCACCGCAACCCTAGAGTCGGATTAGACTGGCTTTCGAGCAAGGGAACCTTTACCTCTACCTTAGTAAATAATAACACCAATACCAATAAATTCACAGGTTACAGGATGCCAGTTGCCAACTAATCCAACTAATCCAACAGGATGTAGTTAAACAATCGAATAAAGAAATAGCTAGAACATCCTATAACATACAGAGTAACTACATGAAGACATAACGAACGTAATGAGGATAAATAATGTCAGTAAGAGCGATAACAAGGTTCCGGTTTATTTCCCTTGTTTCCTTAAACGTTCTTCCTCAGTCGCTGTGAGACAAGAAAAAGAAAACAAAATGCATTGTGGTGGGCAGTGCTATTTTTGGGCAGGAGCGCACAGGAACGGAGTTCCGGCTGGCTTCAGAGTTGGCCACGCCCACTACAGCCAAAACCTCTCTGTGTGTGGCTACAGAGGGAAGGCCTGGACAGCAGGCCGGGCCCGGGGGGGGGGGCCTAGAAGGATCGGGGAGGCATTTAAATGCCTCCCCATGCCTTCCCCAGCCTGTCCAAGGGCTGGCTTGTCCAGGCTCCCCACAGCTGCGGGGCGTTCCAAGGGTGCCCGGGGAAGCCAAGGGAAGGCAGTTTAAACTGCCTTCCCTCCCCTTCAAGGGGGGGGCTTGCCCGGGCTCCCTGCAGCCACGGGGCGCCCAGGCAAGCCAAGGGAAGGCATGGGGTATGGCCTAGTATGCTAATGAGCTGTGCTGTCTGGGGGTGTGGCCTAATATGCGAATGAGTTTCTGCTGTTGGGTGTGGCCTATTATGCTAGTGAGTTCCTGCTGGGCTTTTTCTACAAAAAAAAAGCCCTGGCGGTGGGTATCCAAGTCAATGCTTACAAAACTCAAAATTCGAACACTCGGGAGTACACTGACTTACCTATTGCAGAACAATAATTCTGTCCTGAATGAAACCGTGAGCAAAGGTTTTCAAACCTCCCACAGGAGTAGCCTGGGTGATAACCTCCTGGTCTCCCATCGGGGATACAGAGTGGCAATATATTAAGAAATGATAAATGAGGAGCGCAGCAAAACGCTCCCCATAGTTTGAAGTAGTGTGCTGTAACCATTAAAGAGGAGCTGCGGTGGCTCAAGTGGTTAAGATGCTGAACTGCAGGCTGTGGAAGGTCAGTAGTTCAGCAGTTCGAGACCCGAGTGTGCCGCATGACGGAGTGAGCTCCCATCTCTAGTTCCATCCCCTTCCAACCTAGCAGTTCGAAAGCAAGAAATTGCAAGTAGATAAATAGGTACCACTTTGGTGGGAAGGTAACAGCGTTCCGTGCGCCTTTGTGTTTAGTCATGCCGGCCACATGACCACGGAAATGTCTTTGGACAGCACTGGCTCTTCGGCTTTGAAACGGAGATGAGCACCGCAACCCTAGAGTCGGATTCGACTCGCTTTCGAGCAAGGGAACCTTTACCTTTACTATCAGGCCTATCTTAAATTGTACTCAAACTACTAAACACATTTCCGGGCAAATTGCCAAAGAGTTACAGCCTGGAAGCTGCTACAGGATTGAGACTATCAGTAAGTAATTTAAAGTAGCATAATGCCCCAAGTAAAAACAGCCCCTGGGCTGCACTTGGTACAAATCTAACGTACTGTAGCAAACTTCCCCAGTAGTTTAAAGTTAAGGAAAAACGATATTACCTTATATCAACAAGGAACATATACTCCACAATCAATTCAGCACAGCCTGATAACATTCAAAGATGGAAAGTTCTCATATGTGGGTGGAGCAGAACCATAGTTATAGTGGTAGTGACCTCCAGATGTTCTTGATAACAAAGGTATATTCACAAAGTATATTTTACTAAGCAACATTGACATCTAGTGGTATAATCAGTTACATACATTCCAAACTCATAGCCAAAAAATTGTTCTACTATAAAACCTCTACAAAAAACCAGAAAGGTCCATAGATGAATTCAGACCATCAGGTGAAACTGTTCTCAGTTTATGTACATAGAAAACCTCCTGTTGTGATAAAGTTTTTTGAACATCTATCCTGTTGAAAGGATATTGATAAATTACAGTAAATCTTAGTTCTTCAGGTTTGTGACCTAGCTGCTGACAGTGGGCACCCATGGGTACTTCTGGAACAGCGTGACGTAAATGAGAGAGATGTTCCATAATATGAACTTTTACTGGGCGTGTACTCATACCCACATAGATTTTAGAACATGGATAGATGGCAATGTACAGGACATTACGTGACACACATGTTGTCAGATGTTTGTAAGGTGTAGAAGCCTTCAGGATGTCTAAATTCAGATAGTTCCAATGTTTGTGCATGTATCTGACAATTTCTGCAATGAAAATGTCCTCTAGTGGCAGACATATTGCTAGATCACCTAATAAAGTCCGATCAAACTAATGTATTTTTGAGGGACTTAGTTCCCATTATCCTAGACAAAAGATGTCAATGTTTCAATAAGATTCTTTTAATGGCATATGCATGTTCTGAAAATTCAAAAGCACAAGTGATACGAGAGTCCTGCGTCTTCATTCCCTCCCCTCCTGCGTCTTCATTCCCTCCCCTCCTGCTGGCTCCCAGCCCTCCTGCGGGGGGCGGGTATATTCATTGGGGTTCGCCGCCTCCTCTCCCATTTTTGTCCCACTTCCCTGCCTCTCTCCTGGCCTCGTAACCCCCGTGACAGAATCGCGACCCGCACGGCTTGAGTGGCGCGTCTTGTCCAGGGCCCGTCATCTTCGGAGCGCCTCATTTTAATCTCTCTCCTCTCCTGCCCAGCAAGTTCATCCCCGAGGGCTCCGTTCGAGTAGGACTGACCAGCAACAGCTGGTTGGGTTGCAGGCTGCATACGGTGGGCTTCCTGAGACCGGATGGGGCTGCCGTGGTGGTCGCGCTGAACAAGTAAGTGAGAAGACGGGCTGTGATCTTCCCTCGCTCCTTGGACGGATGGGGTGTGGCGTGGGGACTTGGCCGAAAGGGCTCTCTTGGTAGCCAGTTAGCACTCGCCTGTCTGGAAGGCGTAGGGGGTCCTCCGTTATTCGTTTCTAGAGCTGTGTGTGGCACTCTGTGGAGTAACAGTCCCCAAGAAGGCCCACATTGGTGATAAATTGGACAGCACGTAGGGTTGCCAGCTCAAGATTGGGCAATTCCAGGTGGCTTTGGGGGGGAGCCTTGGGAGGGCGGGGTTTGGGGGAGGGGAGGGGCCTCAGCAGGGTATGAGGCCACTTGGGTTGCCAACCTCCAGGCTACCTGGAGAAAATGGCCCCTTTGGAAGGGGGACTCTGCGGCCATTATATCCCTCCCCTCCTCAGGTTCCACTCCCAAAATCTGCGGGCATTTCCCAACCTCGAGCGGGCAGCCCTAGATGCCACACAGTTCACCCTCCAGAGTAGCCATTGTCTTCAGGGGAAATTGTCTCTGTCGCTGGGAGATCAGTTGTGGTTCCAGGAGATCTCCAGGCCCCATCTGGAGGTTGGCAATCCTAACTCTGAGGTTGCAGGTGAAGGATACTCCATGGGGTGTTTCTTCATGTATTCTATTGTATTTTATCTATTCAACCCGGCTTTGCCGCATGTTAGCCGCCCTGAGCCGTTGGGAGGGTGGGATACAAACCTAATAAATAAATAAATAAAGGTAAAGGTAAAGGTTCCCTTGCTCGAAAGCCAGTCGAGTCCGACTCTAGGGTGGCGGTGCTCATCTCCGTTTCCAAGCCGAAGAGCCAGCGCTGTCCGAAGACGTTTCCGTGGTCATGTGGCCGGCATGACTAAACACCAAGGCGCACGGAACGCTGTTACCTTCCCACCAAAGTGGTACCTATTTAGGTACTTGCAATTTCTTGCTTTTGAACTGCTAGGTTGGCAGGAGCTGGAACGAGAGACGGGAGCTCACTCCGTCATGCGGCACACTCGGGTCTCGAACTGCTGAACTACCGGCCTTCCACAGCCTGCAGTTCAGCGTCTTAACCAATTGAGCCCCCGCAGCTCAATAAATAAATAAATAAATAAATGTAAAAACAGACAACCGTAGCAGAGAGAAAGGTTTTCCACACACACACACCTTTGCTCGCTCCACTTGCCAGGTTTTTTTTTTTAAAGTTTATTTATCATTTTTCCATAACAAAAAAGAAAACATATATGCATGATAAATACAGAATGCTTTTGGAGTTTACATTTACAAACATTTACATTCCACTTGCCAGTTCTGTCGGTTTCCGTTTCTCAGGACAGAGAGGAACCTACCCAAACAGACCCACCCTTTGGAGCCCTCTGAGTTCGGCTTCCACTCGGGGAAGTGCCTTCTCACCAGGTGTGGCGCCCCGGGAACTACTGAGGTGAACTGGTGTGGTTAGCCCAGTCACCATTAGTTAGCAGAGTGCTTAAATGAAGCTACAGAAGCAGGAGCGTCCCTTCGCCAGGTCACTCACTACAGACAACCTACAGAGAGCCACGCTGCAAGTTCAGAACAGAAATACGCCTCTCTTCATTTGAGAAGTTCACTTTGGGTAGGAAAGAGCAGAGATGGATGGACTACTAATTTACTAGCTAAAGGGTGGAGGCGGATGGCGAGACGCCCATCTGCCTCGCGGTGCCAAGAGAGGACCGCATGTCCCTCTCTTTGTGAGTGCAGGTTAGGGATCCCAAGTCCCCCCGGGGGGCGGGGAAACCCCCGCCCCAGAGGCCCGTTCCCCGGCGGCGCCGGATCGGGCCCCGGGGGGAACTCCGCCCCGACGTGCGTGTCACCTGGAAGTGACGGGAAGATGCCAGGCACGCTGGGGGCGGGGCCACAGCCATCCAAGGGAAAACTCCCGGCGAAGATCCACTTGGCAACCCTAGTGCAGGTAGAGAGCACGTCTTCATCCAGAGAGAGAGAGAGGAGGAAGAGGAGGAAGGGGAAATTGATCCCTGAGAACACAATCTGCCTATCAAAGAGGACAGTGGCAGACGAGTAGATGCAGGAAGAAAGGTCAGTGTGCCTGTCTAGCGATCTAGCCTCTCTTGCCGCTCAGTCTGGAGGTCTGAGACAGGGGACATCGCGTCTGGGACTTCCAACAGGGACTGCCTCCCACCCCCGTGTTTCGGGGGATCCCCAGGGCCCTCCACGACCCCTTCTCACCCCAGCCTTTCCTCTCCCTCCAGCTGCTTCTATGACGTGCCGTTCAGCATCACAGATGGCCCGGTGGGCGTCCTCGAGGATGTCGCTCGTTCGTACAGCATCCAGACCTACCTGTGGAAGCGTGCGTGACCCTGAAAGGTGCTCCAGGTGCTGTGGTAGACGGAAGTCCCCCCTGGGGGAATCGTGTCCGTGCGGAGAAGGCCGTCGGGAGGGGCGGAGACAGCTCCTTCGCCCCATCTCTTCCAAGACTTGGGATGGGTCCCCCTTGCTATGACCAAGAAGGAGCGTCGCTGCAGACTGGAGACTCTCGTGCCAGAACCACCGGGGTGCAGCCGAAAGGCGCCCCACAGGCACCGGCCAATGCCCCTTCGTCCCCTGTAACCCGCCTTAATTTATCATACATTAAAAATGAATTGCACTGCATCCAAAAATGAATTGATCTGTTTCCACACCCGGACCAGAGCGTTATCAGGGAACATCCCCCCCCCCCGAAAAAAACCCCTTCCCAACTGCAGCCCAGGGTCCAGGCTAGCCTGAGAAGTGAGGACTTGCCCAAAGGCAGGTGGCCAGTCTGGAGTAGAAAATGTTTACCTGGACTGATGAATTTTTCTCCCTTTAAAATATTCAGGAGACCACCTTTCTCCCGACAGATGGGAAGTCGGGACCCCAGTCAGGTAGCAACCATGTTAACAACATACCGTAAATATGGAATACATTAAAACTGTAGAAAAATAGCCAAAGTGTTGGATCCCAAGCATTCAAAATAACTCCACGTTGAAAAGTAAAGCAAGGTTTATTTCAAAGCGTTGGTTTAACCAGAACAGGACATTGTTAGGAATAACGACAGGTAACCAGGGAAGGCATAATATAGACATTTGAACCAGGTAAGGACCAATGAGCCCAGTTCCCGCTGGCGGCAATAGAACATGCAATTCGCGCCCATTGCATGGGAACGCAACAGTTCTATAATGTCAACACAGGTTCAGTTCACATGCTAGATACCCAAAACATTCCAGGTGAAGCTTTCCTCCTACAACCAGCTGCACGACCTTGGCGAGTTCCGCGGACTACATAACATAACTCAAGCAAACAAGGAATGAGGGGGGGGGTGAAGGAATCTACACAGGAACCGGAATGACAATGGCAGCTAGCTGACATACTGCCCCCTCAAAAATACTCATTAACCACCACCTCCCGGAGGATCCGGGAGACCTCCCGGCTAGCCCGGGAGAATTTCCGGGAGACCTCCCGGTTTGCCCGGGAAACGTCTGTGGAATTCCTGGAGCAGGTAAGGGGCCCGAATATCCCCTACTTCTACCCATTCGCGGTGCTGGGGTCCGAAGTCAACCCACTGGATGAGATACCAAAGTTTACCACGTTTCAACCTGGAATCAAGAATGTCAGCAATCTCAAAATGTTCGGCACCCTCCAACACGATGGGAGGGGCATGGGCAGGCCTCCATGCACAATGACCAGGATCGTTTTTTTAGCAAGCTCATGTGGAACACAGGGTGTAGACCTTTCAAATTCTTAGGCAATTCCACTTCAACAGCAACATTATTCAAAACACGTGGGAGGGGCATGGGCAGGCCTCCATGCACAGTGACCAGGATCCTTTTTTAGCAAGCTCATGTGGAACACAGGGTGTAGAGCTTTCAAATTCTTAGGCAATTCAACTTCAACAACAACATTATTCAAAACAC